AGCCAAAAGGAGAGCAACAGGCTTTCTCTCTCTCTCTCTCTCTCTCTCTCTCTCTCTCTCTCTCCTCTCTCTCTCTCCTCTCTCACTTTGAAGTGATATTTTAAAATATTTTATTGATTTGACAATTTCATACAATGTATTTTAATGACATTCTAACCTTTCTCCCCTTTCTTTACACCTGCCTTTACTCCCACCGGACTTCGCGTCATCTATTACTGTCAATTTTTGTTAGCTAGTAAAATTTGTGTCCCAAAATACTCTTCAGTGTGGATTCATCACCAGGAGCCAGGCAACTTACCAAGTATCTCATCCTTAATCAAACCAACTCTTCTTCTCTCAGCAGCAATCAGTTACCAATAGTCCCTAAAATAGGGTTTGGACTTCTCCACATCCCAACTTCCATGGTGATTTTCTCTGCAAGAAAAAGTTTTTCTAGTGAGAGCTGAGAGATGCATTAATCTATGAGTATGCCAATAAGTCATTAGAAGTCAGGTTAATGCTATGCCCATTTAATAGAATAATAATAGTATGTTCTCCCCTACAGCCTGCACCCCATCTAGCCACAGGTTCGTGATACCCCATAACAGTGTCAGGTATGGGCTCCATCTTGTAAAGTGAGCCTTGAATTCAATCAGAAAGTGGTTCGTTACTCCTGTAACATTCAGACCACTGCTGCACCGGTAGGCGTATCTTACCCAGGCCAGCCGTTGTAGAATTCACACCCAGGAAATGTTGGTAATTGCTTTTCTCTCCCAGAAGCAGACATAGCATCTTCTGGTACTAGGAAAGCTAGCCAGTAGAGTCAAATCCTTGAGGTCAGTAATAGCCAGGTTTCTCCCAATTTGTTCTATGAAGCACTTATGTAGTATCTTCAGCAAGAGAGTCTTGCCCTCAATTCTGGGCTAACCAAGGGCAATGATATGAAACTATATGGTTTGCAGGTCAGTGAGAACCTTTCAACCCCTGATCAACAACTCCAAAAGAGAGGATCCATTCATAACATTTGCCTTTTTATTTACTAGACTGGGGTGTCTGGTAAAGGCATTGTCCCTCCATTATAGGGCAACTTCATTTAATACATACGTGCACACACACACACACACACACACACACACACACATAAATGAATGCAGTGATATAAATGGGGAAAGGGAAATAATAGAGTAGGAAGTGCTAAATGACACAGAGTGGGAGGGCAGGCAGAGGAGGGACTGTGAGGAGGGAAAACCAACACTGAAGGCCTTTAAAAAGTCACATGAAAACCCGTCACTGTAGAAGCTTCTAAAGTATATACATACACAATATAAAAATGATCAAGAGGAATTACTTTATAACAGGGGACATTGCCCATATTAAACACCATAGACTAGCAAATAGAAGCCCAGTACCAGGAATGGATTTGATTTCCTGAAGCAGTTGACAAGGGATCCTATAGGTCCTCAGGCAATACTGTCCATGGCCTCTGCTCCTGGACACCCACCAGAACTGAATGGTAAAATCCTACTGCTGAAATCACTACGTCTGTGGGTTATAGAACAAACAAGAAGAAATTGAACTGCTATGGACTGGAAAGCTTCATCACTACCAGATCAATTTCATGGTGATGGAAAGTAGTATGCATGTGACCTGAGAGAAAGTAAACATCAGTGTTGCTCGTCTGTGAATACTGTGAGGTACAATAGCAACTGTCCTGGAAATACATGACCACTGGTGCAATAGTGGCATGATTGCTGTGGGAGTATCCAACTATTTTCTAATTGGACTTATAGTCCATTCCACAAGATGGAGGCCATACCTGTTATCTGGCATAGACGGGGCATAGGTCATGGGGGGAACCGACTGTTATTATCCTGCAAAGTGGGCACAGTATTAAAACCAACCTCTAATGACTTATCCTTGTAACCATAAATTAATGCATCTCTCAGTTCCCACCAGAGAAGATTCCTCTTTAGGAGATGGTGGCTAACACAGACTCACAACTGGTCCGCATACAGAGAATAAGAGATTGTAAAAGTCTTATCCCTGAATAGGACACCTATATCCATCCTCTGCCTCCTAAGGCACAGCTATCATTGCAGAAGAGGGGGAGAAAGAATGTAAGCATCAGAGGTGGTGGATGATCACAGGAAACAGAGTTTTCCAGACAGCTGGGCAGGTACTCATATGAACTCACAGCAATGGTAACAGTTTGCACAAGACCCAAGTAAACTCAAACCAGAGAGAAGTCTCAGCGTAGAAGTGAGGAGGCCCCAAAACTATTTGAGGAACCCTTGGTAACCAATAGCTGCTGGGATAGGGGAGTCAGTCTTTTTTAATGGTGTGACACTGGGTAGGTTAACCGGGATCCAGTGGATGGACCCACATCAAAGGGCATTAGGGAACACAAATTTGAATATAGATAGATGATAGATAGATAGATAGATAGATAGATAGATAGATAGATAGATAGATAGATAGATAGATGATAGATAGATATTTTCCCATATATATATATTCCCATATATATTCCTATATTTTTCCCACATATATATGGGTATATGAAATTAATTGGTAAAGGTAAGTAAGGGCAAGATGCAGATAGGAAAGGTGGCTTAAATATAATCAATTATATTGTATGAAATTTTAAAAAGTTTAATAAAATTTTTAAAGCACTTTTATGGTAGTAGGTGTTTATATTGCCTTTTAAAAAGGCCTTTAAATCTGGCTGTCCCTACCCATACCCCTCCCCTCTGCCCTGACAGCCCATTTCCTACCTTACCCAACATCTTTAAAATGAAATAAACCTATTCTTAAGATTTTTGATATTAGTTCTATGTCATTATTGAACAGAGGCCTTTACCACCACACTGAGTGATTTATTGGAAGTTTAAAATCCCTGTGTGATAAAAACACGTATAATATTGAAAATTTTATATTGTATAAAATTGAACTGAATTTTATTTCTAAATGCCTTCCTGATAAATGACAATCTTCTCTGTTGAAAACACCCATAAAATGAGAATAATTTTTAATGGGAAGAACAATGAGGTTCAATGATTTTGACAAGTAATAACTTAGCTATAAAGTATATATAGGTCTTACCACACTCTCCTGCATTTTGAAGAAAAGAGGCTGAAATATATCATAGCAATTAATATTTTGCATTCATTCAAGAGGTAATAAAGGACTTGATACATTTGGAGCATGTTGTGCTCTTGTATTCTGATAGTGTTTGTCAAAGGAAGGGCTTGACTCATATAAAGCAGTCATATAAGGAAAGTGATTGGTTTGCTTAAACAATGGCCCTAGATGCATCATGAAATGTTATAATGAGTTAAAAATTATTATTGAAACATGACGTGCAGAATAGTCTGGTTTTCTTTTTCTCTAGAACTGTCGATAGATGAGGACAGGATACTTCTAACTCAGATGAAATATCCAAGAAATCAAGAGAGAACAGAAAAGGGTTTGAAATGAGAATAGACTTTGGAATGTGAAATAAAATGTATTATGAATGTCTAAAAATTAAGTCAGTCTTCATTTTTGTGAATAGTTATTCTTAATACCATGTTACTAATTTTTATTTATTTACTATCACCTTCCATTGGTCGATGGCCCACGACCCTATTTTTTGATACCATGCCTATCAAGATGTGGTTGGACCGTTTTTCATTTTCTAGAAAATTTTACAAATTCATGACACTTGTTGAAACAGATCCTGGTAATTCACCTTCTTTTAAGGTGATCAGATAGCGAGAAGAGTCCACGTCATGGCTTTCTTTAGGGAGCAGAGAAGCTGTTGCTCTCCCAAGCAAAGCACAACTCTCAAAATGGAATAAATCAAATGCTACCTGTTTTAACTTTTTATTGGGGGCCTACTAGGATTGGTGTGCTCCTAAGAATGCCTGTGTAACTAACTCTAATGTCATTGTTCCTAGACAAAATTACCAGCTTCAAAAGAATAGAAAAATAGCATCATTCCTGGTGTGAATGAGCACTAATGAATTGACTTCAGGATCTGGTCTTGAAATATTTAACAAGAAGAGAAGATAGACGAACCTAGTGAAGGAATGGAATGTCCCTAAAAGGTATTCCCTAATGTAGGTGTCTTAGGAAAACACGAGGGTGCCCCATGACAGCAGCATTTGCCACTGAGAAAGAAGTCAAATTGGAACCTTTATCAGCAGTAAGTCTTTGATTGTACCACGTAAGTTGGTGATAGAATTTCCCCCTTTTTCTAATCCTCTATCTCATCCTAAGTCAAAGGAATTGTTATCAAGAGCCAGCAACTAGAGATGCCTGTTGAAACTGACCATCTCTCTTTCCTGCTGTGACTTAAGCCACAAGAGGATGAGTACAATGTATTAAATAATTTCAATATGAGAGGAAGTTGAAACTAGACCTAAGAAGACTTACTAGACACAGCATGTAAAGAACATATTGAACATCTCTCAGAGGATGCTAAGGAAACAAGAAATGAGAAGAGCATTGTTGAAGGTAGTTATTAGAGAAATCTACAGTCATTTGTTTGTATCCTAGCAGATTCTCTGCAAAACTTTCTTAGTAGTTAGTCATAGTTGTGATAAATACATAGTCTGATACACCTATGATGATAAATATATTTTATCATCATTTAAAATGATAAATATTTGTCTGTCATTTCACTATCAAAGTTAGTTTTTAAAAAATGGCTGGCTTTTCTAAGATACTCCAAAATTTCCAAATCTTTAGTACAATACCTGTTCTCCTAACTGTGATTTCAATACTTGATTCTAATAACTTGATCCACATTAACGTACTTTGATTCTCATGTGCATTAAGAACTGTGACTCTTTCCAGTCAAACATACCTTGTTGATGTTAGAAAGACACCAGTGCTAGTTCATACATCAGGATTAAATGAACCAAAGAGACTGACAAGTTTTCTGTTTTCTTTTGATCTTTTATTTCTTATCAAAGACCCACTTTCCTCAAGCAAACATTCAAAGAGAATAAGATTCAGTGAAGCTTTGAAAAGATGGATCATTTAGCATCATCTCCAAACCCTGTGGAGTAGCAGACGTCTCCATTAACATGCAGACACCTCAGGAGCTTGAGATAAAGGTCAACTGTATGCATGTCAACACGCAGGCAGTAAGACATTTTATAAAGAGTGTACATGCGAACTTCTTCATCAGCTGCTTGCAAGTGTGCAAGGTCCGACCAGAGAGGGTAGCTCACATTTTCTTCAATTCCAGGATGAACCTAGGGATGAAAATGATAATCAGTTACTATTGTGAATGCTTGTATTTGAGTCTCCTTATCCCTGATGGTTATGTTTAAGTAAATGTTAGGAATGTAAAATTTCAGGCACAGTCTTGGATGTCCAGGTGTCTAGCACAGAATATTATAAATCGTTTAATGATCTGAAAACTAGAAGCAAGGCCTGCAGATACGTTTTCTGACATTAAATTGACACCAGATGAAGCCTGCCCTTCACAACTGAATGGATAGAGGACCAGGATGTTGTTTCTGAGGACAGACTGGTGTTTGGTCAAGGGATAGAAGAAGAGCTGATGACCGTTCTTTCAATTAGGATTCAGAGACTGGGAGATTGGGATAGGAAGGCCTAATAAGTTTTGGGGGGACATATAACACTGCCCAGGAAATATACTTTTTAAATTACAGTGAGGAAGAGGTACATTTTTTATGCTTATTTCTTAATGAGGAGACTGATACCAGATTGGGTGCCTGGATTTTGTTCTTCCAAATGAAATGTTTCAAATGTATCATTCATTGCAGAAGTCACCACTTTCATGACGAGAAAAGTGAAAGGAAGGAAAACTGCTCACCTTGCTGAGGATTTTCTTGACCCGCATTAGAAGCTCTTTGTTTTCCGCCTCGATGTCTTTGGCTCTAGATAGGATCACAGACGGGGCCCCAGGCATACCACTGAGCTCAGTCACTAGGTGGTGCAGAGGGACATTCCAGGCTTGGACTATACTGAGTGTCATTTTCAGAAAGTCATCAAGCTATAAAATGTAATCGAGCAAATGAAAATAAGGTAAGTCAAGTAAAGAAGGATTCGTTACACATGGTTTTTAATCAGAAAAATGAGCTAAATTACGTTTGCTTTTATCAGAAAGTACGCTTTTTGTGGAAAAAGATGTAAAGTTATAAAACTTAAGTCATCCACACACAATTTGGCAAAAAGAAACAACTTGCGTAAATAAGAACCATCAATTTCATCACTTTTCATCTGCCTGTAAGGTCTGTGTATTTGATTTTCTTTGTCCATGTGAACCCAAGGCTTTTCTAGGAAACAGTAGGTGTGTACAGGACCTAACTCAATGAAAATAGATGTCATCAGTGCTAGTGATGAGTAATTTAACTCAGATTCATCATAATAACTACATTGTTCACAAATTACGGTCATTGTGATTTTTATGTTATTCTGGGATTTCCATAGAGACCTAACATGAAGACAACCTGACCTGAATAAATATGGCTTCCTCAGTCTATGGCACTCTCTTATCTTTCCTCAAACTGAGGGACCCATTCACTGGCATATGCAATGGAATAACAGCGGCATGGCATTTCCTTTGATAACAGCAGGAATGGGAATCCTGATGCAATTTTGACTCTCCAGTATGTGCTGTGCTAGGGTGCTATAGGATATTCATCTCTGATTTAAAATGATAGCTGTGTTGGTGTCTTTTTGATACTCTAGTGATGATGAAGATGAAGAGCGGATGGGAATCCAATGGATATATGAAAACAGTATGAATGAAAGAAGGTCAGATTGTGATGTTACTACAGGTTGGTGGGAGTAATGTACCATGCGATAAAAATGATGGCTTGAGGGCTTGGAGAGATGCTCAGCGGTTCAGAGCACTGACTGCTCTTGCAGAGGACCCGGGGTCAAATCCCAACACCCACAAAATGGCTAACAACTGTCCATAACTCCAGTTCAGGGGACCCGACGCCCTCCCCTGACAGCCGTGGACATTGCACGAGACGGGTGCACTTATACACATGCAGGCAATATACTCAACATATAAAATAAAAGTAATAAATAAAATATTAAAAAGAAATGATGGCTTGAGATGGATGAGGTTCAGACGCCTGCTATGACAGGACATTCTGCTGGTACAAATCCCATAAAACTTTTCACACTATATGTATCCTTATCTCAGCTGGTATTTGTGTTGCTCAAACTGATGTGAATACACGACTTTGTAAAATGTAAACAACACAGGATAAGTCTCCACAGATATTTTCCCTTATTTTCCCTCTTCCTCTACTTCCCTTGTTATTTTCATATGAAAGTCAAATGAATTCATTTGAGGAGAAGTTGTAGCAGGGAGTCAGAAGGGAAAAAAAAATCATAACAATTATAGAGTCACCATGATATGTAAACCTTCCCATCACACCTGAGGGAAGGATTTCATTATGAGGCACACTCCGTAGTATTCATAAGATCTGCTTGTTCTGATACTTTCAATTAAAACACAGAGGAGCTCATACAAGTCATAGAAGAATTAAGATCTTAATTTAAGTTAAGTGCTAGAGGGAAAACCAGGAAACTCTTGAAAATCACAAAGACTTATTATCGTGGCAGTAATGTGAATTGCAGGCAATCGGGAACCATTCGTTAGTAATACAGACTTAATGCAATTATATTTGAAGTTATTTTGCATATATGTCCATCTATTTTTAAATAGGTTTGCCCTATTCAATTCAAGTTTTATATACAATAATAAATAAGTTCTTAATGACTAGATACTATTGAAATAACATCCTCTAAGTGAACAGTTTATGGATCTACTACAATATAACATTCGCTTTTGCTTACCATTTATCTACTACATAACTTGATTTTTCTTTAATTTCTCACTCCAGCTCCATTTTCCTGCAGGTGTGAGTACCATGCCTGTTACAGCACCAACAATAACACAGAGCACAAAGAAAGTGTTCTGCTTCAGAATGGGAAAAGCTGGGATGAGGACTTACTGAGATTTCTTTGGCTTCCTGGATGGTCTCTGGCGTGTTGATGGAAAGAGTGTGGCAGGTGTTGAGAGTGTTGGCCATGAACTGCATATCCCTGGTGGACCGTAACATCTGTAAAGGTTAACACAGTGGTTCAGTTGGTTGGAGTTTGGCAACTGAAAAACTGAATTCATGACTAGGACATTAATGCATTTGAAAGACGTGTAATTCTCCATTGGACACTGCATAAAATCTAAAATTGAGAAATTAAGAAAAAAAGAAATTAAGAAAGTGACCCTTTTACCTAATATTTTTTACAGTACATCAGTAACTTCTGGTTCTTCATCTAACCCTAACCTGTCACCCTTTCCCCAGGTTCTATCCTCTTGTATTCTCTCACTCTTCCTAAAGTTACTGCACCAAAAACCACAAAGTACTTTGAAGATTATATTTCTCTACACTTTGAACCCATACACACACACACACACACACACACACACACACACACACACACACGGTCCAAACCAATATTCTTTAAGTAGGCATTATAAGGTTAGCTACTTGTACCACTCAAAGTTAATCATAAATTTTGAATGCAATTGTATTATGACAAAAATAAGCATAAAAATCACCCCTTTCAGGAAATACTAAGCAATGAAGAAATGCAAAATATAAAACTATTCAATTAATGCTTGCATTTAACAAATATAAAATCATTAATGACTAAATTTATTTAAATGTATTATTAACATATTTGTTATTTAAAAGTAATAATCAACTATCTTGTGAAAGTTTAATGGATTACTATTAATGGTAAGAATTGAAAGATGCTGGTCTGGAATGGGGAATAAAAACTCATGAGCAAATCACCACACGGATTCATATTTATCGCCAGTGCAGTCACAGGTTTTCTTGATGCCCATGGTTGAAGAGAGAGAGGCCTTGTGTGTTTTTCCCTTGACGGTGACTGAGCTGATCTTGAATAGGTAACATACATTCATTAAGAGGAAAGAACCTATCTTTACTTCTAACCCAGTCCTCCTGCTTCATAGCCTCTAGAATTTCAAATCTTTAAACCATAATTCTAACATTTTGGATTCTGGAAAAATATGCTGATTTTTGTTTATTTCCTCCTCTTGACTTGATTTCAGTTAATGTCATCTCTGTTCCACACAACTTTCTCCAGGGCAATTCGACTTTATTGGATTTCTGTAGTACTCTAAGTGAAGACTGCCACTGGGGCCTAGCTCCCTAAATCTTGATCGGGAAATCAGAGTTCTTCCCACACACAGCACAATCCTTACAGCTTTATGTTTCAAGTATAATTTTTTAAAAGGTTAAACAACTTTAGAGAAAAACTTGGGTAACCACTTCACAGTTTCTGAGTCAGTGATCTGCTGAAGTTGTTGCATTTTCAACCTGTGTTCTCAGTGACTGACATTGCCTTTTACCTGTGGAGGTGTTTTGCCTGAAATTCAGTTTTTGATGCTTCCCTGTGGAAGTTCCAGTACTGTCATTAAATGAAGGCTTTGCCCGGGAAGAACACAGAAATAAGTGAGGTACTTACAAATTTATTGAACAATTTTGAAGAGAAGTCGTTGGTGAACTGAAACAGAAGGATAGGAAGGAATGAAAACCGTGTGAGTAAGAAGGCACCATGAATCCGTATTTATTGCATATTAAGACATATTCAGTAGGTGCCCATTGTTGTCCTGAAGCCTTGTTTGGTTTCTGCTCCTTCACCTTGAGTGACATTGAACAAATAACATATAGTCATCAAGAAGAGAGAACGAACCGTTTTCTTTCTGAAACTGCCCTCCCACTTAATGAACACAAGCAGGGGAAATTAAAAAAAAAAACTGAATATGTTAAAGCTGTAATGAAATGCTTCTTCTAATCATGTGGTTATTAAATTAAGAAAAAGATTGTTAGAAATTAGATGTTTCTGAGAAGCCAACATCTTTTGCTCTTATTTCCCCCTTGATATCATTACCCTTTAGATTATCGCCCTGATTCCATGCAACTCACTGAAATGTACTTAGTGGACATTCACAGTGTGCTGAGGTGATGTCAGTGAGGACCGGCCTCCTGCAAAGTGAGGAAATCAGAGCTCTCCTCCAGTTATGATTGCTGTGGTACTGTTTGGGGATTGGTTTTTATGTTGCAAATGTAAATTTAAGAATCTCTTTTAAAGAATAGTTTAACAAAGGCAAATGTTTAAAATCACTGAAATGGTAGAAATCTCTGATATTTTATGAGAACGCCTGTTCTTCTTGTTCTACTTTTCTGTACCACATACTCTCTTTTCTCTTTGAAAGATGTATTGGAAATATGTTTCACGATGCTTTCTGTCAGACCACAGTGCAATGCTATCCTGGGCTGCAGGTTTCATTGAGGAAGAAGCCAGAGGTAGGTGAAGTACTTACAAATTCCATGCGCATGTCTGTAGCAAGATCACTAATGTTCTGAGACAGTGTGATGGCATGATCAAACAGTTCCTGGAGGGTGACCTCCTCGTGGTCAGTGTCCTTGGCATGCATAGGCACAGAGACCACTTCTTCCCACAGGAGCAGGTCTGACACCAGCAGCAGCAGGAGTACCCTTGCTACAGAGAAACAGGAGCTACCTTGAGATCTGTTCAACTGAGGTTATAAGCGCTAATTCTATCTTGAGTGTAAAGAGTAATTTTATCTCCCCCCCCCGCAGGGCTTAACACTGTACGACTTGCTACTTTACATCAGTGACAGTGAATATATATTCCACTGTGGGAATATAATTAAATAATTTCATTTACCCAGATAAATATTTTCAGAACTTGAAATTTTTGGATTGGTATCAGTTATGATTCTGAAATTTTCATATACATGTAGAGCTTATGTTAATTGCAAGGGAATGCTTTGAAGTCGTTCTCTATAGATAATGTCTTGGGAATTTGTGCTGATTTTCAGTAGACAGAATCCCTAAAACTGTTTTCAGCTCAGTGTCTGTATTTGCATCTTAACCTGGACAACATGATACCTATTTGTTGTGACTTAATTCTCAATAGGAATAAATACATGAATGCCTTTTACTCAATACTGAGGATGAAGAGATTGTTCTTTTAAAAATGAAGATTCTATAAATTAGATTTAAGGACTCACAATAGCGATTGCATTTCCATTTCACTAAATCTTCAGATTGTTTTATCAGTGAGTTTGAGTTTCACAATAATCTCGTAGGTAGACTGGGCCAATGTAACACTATCAAACTATATTAACGCAACAGATTTCCAGGGTTAAGAGATTAACCCCAAGTCCTATTCATACTTTGTTCAAGACACAGAATGCCAGCCCTAAGGGCTTTTCCCGCTCATTGTCACATATTGCACATCATGGGACTTCCATGTGTATTTGGGTGACTTGGACTTTATCCATCCATGCTGGGGCACAATGTCACAGACGTATTACTTGTAAAGAAAAACTTTGACTCAGATTCTATAATCACAGAAGCCCTAGTTATCTTGATTTTTATCTCCTTTTCTTGATCTATATTGCTACCACTATAAAATGAAAATCTTGATCATGACTAGTGTTGTTTCACTGTATTTTTACTTTTCAAAGATAGACAAAAACAGGATTATAACTTCTAAATAATTTATACTCTCAATAGGATGAGCTTACATGGATGCACCCAGATGAAAATTTTATTTACATTTAGAGAAGCTAGTTGAAAAAATTTCTGTTCAATACAACCTTTGATGAATTCAATTGGAATAAATGCAAGATAAAATTAGGGAATTGATAAGATTCATTCATGAAAACTACCTTAAATCAATTACTCAAAATGAAGTAGCATACCAATCATTCTGTAGCATACAAGATAACCATCAACTGTTTATATACAAAATAAAATAAAAACAACTATATTCAGGTAATTCCTGTAGTTGAACACAAATTTTCAAAAACTCATGATGCTTTCTCAAATTAATTTTATGCACAGAAGATATTTAAATGCACAATAAGTGAGTGCATATTCCTTCCGACTATCATCTGAAGGATTTTCTTAGTCTAAGAGGGATGCAAGGAGCTAATGATTTTGCCCCTTCACTTCATAAAATCCAATTTATGATAGTTACCAATTCGTTTAACTTGGAAACATTATTTTCAACAGAAGACAAATATTAGCATAACTTCCTTCTTTGGAAACATATTTTGCATTAGTGAAATTGTCAAAGCTTTATATATGTGATCAGCCTTGTGTACAATGTCCCTATGCTTGAAAATATGATGAAGTTCATTCAAGCCAAGAAACTCGCGAAGGAGACACAGGAAAGAACATGTTATTTTTATCATTCTGCACTTACTACTTATTGAACCCATAGGCCCTTGGGGTTTCATGCATGTTATTTTTGAAATTTTGACATTTTAAGATGGATCATTCCTTGGCCAGGAGCTCTTCTGGCCATTCAGGCTTGTTAGACACATTGCAGTTTCTAGCACTCGTACTAGAGTACAAATAGTGCTCATTAGTACTCATGTTGCCTATTTTAGGTCAGTTAAGACAGAGGTGGGATGGAAAGATCGCAAGAGCCAGGGTTTGTGCATGAACGTGAGGAAACAAGCTTTCAGGCCTCTGGGAACTTGCACAAATGAGCTTGCAGCACAGCTGACGACATGAACCATGCCCATGCTGACTCAGTCAGACAGACCCAGCATAGAACTGGGGAAATGGGCAGCAGGCCCCAACCTTAGCAGAGGAACTGTTTCTGCTGGTGAAAGAGAGCTGATATTCTTTAAGGAAGAGACTCTAGACAGGCTGACTAGATTCTGGTGAATGAACTTGCACTGAGGTACCAAAGCTTACCCAGATAGGCCTTAACATATATGACAGAATGCAAGAAATATGGGGGGGCTATGTGGGGTATAGATAGGTGAGGGGATCTAAATATGATCAAAATCTATTTTATGAAATGCACAAAAAAAAACAAAAAAAGGCATTAAAAGATAATGCAAATGGTTGCAACGTGTCAGGGCCATGAAGACTCCCCTTGGAAGACACTGATCCAATGGTGTTCCGTGCATTTGCCCTCTAGAGCAATGATTAGAAAGTATTTCTCAGCTACATCTGGCTTTACTTCTCCTGGTTAAGCATCATTCCAGATAAAACAACCATAACACTAAATAGCAAAGTGTTCAAACCAGCTTTGTGATATAAAACATTCATTAGGAGGACGATGGGTGGTGAAAAGCCACTTACCGGAGGATGAGTTAGTCAAAGACCGCGGCATCTCTGAGCAGTCCCGCCGCAGTCTGCCTGTTGAACGAGCAAAGGCGCTTTGCGGCAGCCCTGCATCCCCACCTATGTACTCCAGCACAGCCACCCCAAGGCCACATACTGCTGGGTGTAGGAGGAAGTAATGTCTGGAATCCACGTAGAAGTTCCATGACTCTTCCCCCTCAGGGGCGTTAATGGCATAGTTACCATGGTTCACTACCCTAATTCTGTCTTTATTGTTTAACTTATTTCTGGGCTATGACTAGGGTTCAACTTATGTTGCAAGTCACCAGAGCCATTTCTGCTCCGTGATGACGGTGGCAATTTCATGATCTAGGTAAATAAGCTAGGTCCCAGGCCCTCATTCTTTCTTCCAAGTTCTTGTTTTATATTTCATTTATTATTTTTATTTTATTTTATGTGTATGAGTGTATTGGGTACATGTAAGTAAATGTATCCATAACATGTAATGCTTAGGGAGGTCAGAACAGGGGGTCAGATCCCCTGGAACTGTGGTTATGGACAGTTATTAGCCACCATGTGGGTGCTGGGAACCAAACCCTTGTCCTCTACAAGAGCAGCCAGTGCTCTTAAACTGCTGAACCGTCTCTCCAGACCCCTCCTCCATGTTTTTGTATAATTCAATAACCTCTTCTAAAATGTTCACTGAATCTTGGATAATGCAATGCATTTATTATATCTCAGATCACTGGAACACAAGGCCATGGTAACAGTCTCCAACACTAAGCAGACTAATCCTCGTGATTCTTCACCAATATCCATGGAACACAGCAAAAGTATTGGTCCTGGCCTAACAGGCAGATAAGAACAGTAACATAGGGTGTAAATGCACGTGTCCATTAACCTTTTTGGTAGGCCACACAGCATGAGAAACCTTCTTGTTGGAGCATAGACATCTTGTGTCACAGATTTTCAGTCAGGTTTACAGTTAAAAACAAAGATTCTGTTCACAGAACTCAGCTTCAATCTAACAGAACATGTTTCATTTCAGTCATAAGAGTTGCATTGCTATTGGATATGTCAGTACAGCTGACTTGGCTTGGTAGCTGTGTTAAGTTTGGCAGAGCACAACCCTTAGCGAGACTTCATAGCAGTGCTCAGCATTGTGTCATCTGGCCCCGTGGAAAGACAGCATTACCGTGGGCTCCTCCACCTCAGTCCGAGTAGTGCTTCTCTGTACCATGCAACCAGAACGCACGGCATCTCATGCGATGGTCTCTTACATCCAGAACATTCTTGTATCCCCCACACTGAATGCAGTCAGTTCTTCACATTTGGCCTCTGGGGACTCCCTGGTATACGATTTGTAGGAAGCCAACTAATCTGTTATTGGGATGACTCAGTAACCTGGTGGTTTTACTTAGAACCTATGCCTGGTACCTGATTTCAAATTCTTAATTTCAGGTTTTACTCTTCTTCTGAAAGGTTTTACAGATCTGCATGATACTAGACATGATCTGAATGTAATGTAATCCTTCACAGATAGTCCGCAGAATGTTCAAAGGGCCAACATTCCCTTCTGCAGACAACTACAAGCGAGGTTGAACTCTAATTGTTAGCAACAACAAAGACCAGTAGCCCTGTGGTAAACAACAGAAAGGTCCGAATGCCTCTTTCAATAGTTTGCTCATTAGAGCAACGTTCTATGCAAGTTTTATTCCAGGTAATAGGATATTAGCTCTACATACCACACAGTTGTTATGGTTAACATTCTGTCAACTTTATGGATCTATAATCAGCTAGAAAACTGTGATCAAAGTGGATATGGATGTATCTCTAGCTGGGCAGAGAACTGGGCCACGTTGCACCTATAGCAATGATTTTGTAGCAGTGGGAGATACAAGAGCAAGGGGCTTCTTGAAACTTGCCACAAGGTTCCATTGAGCTCCTGAGGCATGACAATGTGTGGCATGTTTGGAGTCCATGTCAGATCTTGAAAGATCATTGTATGAAGAAGTGAGGATAATTCTTGATCTGGTCCCATTCCTCCCTTTGGGAATGGCATTATTCTTTTATTACATGGTATATTACAATTGCATATCTTTGTGTTTATTCTAAAAGATCTCGCACTTAAGAGGTTGTCTTGAGTCTCTGAGGAAGCAGTGGACTCATAAATAGTATCGAGACTGTGAAGATTCACGGATATACTCATTGGATTTTGTCTTAACATGTTTATTAGCTTGTGGGGAAATGATGTACAAAGTTAAGGCTTAAAAAGGTAATACTTGTGTCATGTTGAAAGAAGTTAGGTGGTTAATATATTGCTAGATTTACATGAACTGATATCACCTCAGTGAAAAACCTATAGGCAGGACAGTGAGGGAAATTCTATATTGGGCCATATTAGGGGTAAAGACCCACCAGAAATGTGGACAGCCCCTTTACATGGGCTGTGTCTCAAACTGAGTAAGAAGGAAGTAAAGCACCAACGTTCATCTCCCTCTGCTTCTCAATTGTAGAACCACTGTAGCCAGTTACCATACCTTCCCTACCACGATGAACTGGGTCGCTTTCCACTACAAATCATGATTAACTCTCCTTTACCTCTCAGTGAGTCACTTAGGGATGGGGCTATGAGAGAACTTCAGTGATACGTGCCCAGGTGCAATGTGGCTAGCCACACAGAGCATGTCCACACTCAGTTACACATGCAGATTTTGTGGGATATAAGCTCTTTCCCAATTGTAGGCTTGGTAGATGACGCAGGTGCCAGGGTCATTCCTTTGATAATTAGAGAGTGAAGGGCTGTTCAACACACATGTGTAACTATTCTTGATCTCCCAGTTCCAGGATGCCTGACAAATCTACCAGTTTCTCACGTGGAAAAGGTAACAGACTGGTTGGTAAAGGGTGAGACTTCAGTGTTTCTGTTTAAAGTATCTCCTATCGAGCTAAGGATCCAGAATAGGATGTCATTGACTGTAGGAGACACTTTGTTGGATCTCAGTGAAAGAGACTGTCATGAAAAGGGGTTCATGAAATTCTAAAGCCATCAAGCTTGGTGGGTAAAAGAAAGAGCAGCAAAGACGGTCACTCAAAGGAAAAAGCTCAAATAATTATGGTGACCTCAAACAGAGTTTCTTGGAAAATGTTAATAGCAGGTGAGGGACTATGCATCTTCACCTCTGGGAGGTTATAAAGTCAGAGGAAGTATTCATTGATTTTAGGAAGAGATGCAAGTACTGGTTTTCTGCTTATTTTTAGAAAGCTAGTCCTTTGGCAAATGCCAAAACAATGAAAATCAATTAATGATAACCCCAGAATACATTTGTATCACTGAGTGGCAGTGAATGGCTTTGGATATTGAGCTATGAACAGGACAGTGATGTAGCCTTTTGTATGTTGGGTAATTATTCTGTCCCGGGCATCATAGGATACTTCTTTTTCCTGGTGAAAAAAATATATATAAGTTTTGGTTTTGTTGCTGGAGCTCAAGGTACGTTAAATCGAGAGTCTTATCAGGGTATGAAATGCAAGTTGCACTTATTTATGTGGAGGAGAGGAGACTGTTCAGGGGTGGATGCTTTTCATCTGTCAGTAAACCCTTAACACAGTGGGCGTGACCTATGATGAGGCAGCGGCTTTAGTGTAGTAATAGAGACAGTAAGGGCTTTGAAGAAGCAGCTGGGGGAAACGTGAGAATGGGCCGCCTCTCCGTTAGGTTTTCCTTAGCTGAGAAGTGTGAGTTGCACCCAAATTGCCAATTCCATGGTCCTTTGAAATGGCCACAGAGGCCAAATTTCTTATGGACGATTACAGTGTATTCCAGACAACTCGATATGATAGAGATGGCCATGCATCCCACTCTACTCAACATTGGTCTTCAGAGGAAATATTTAAAATAAGATACAGATCCGTTCTTTTATAAAAAACAATTCTCCTTCTTGTTTGCTCTTCTTTTCCCTCTAGGTATTTAACACAATATCAGTTCATGCTTGTTTGGAAGCAGGAGGTATGGGCTTCTCATGATGACATCCATTCTCTGAAAATTTTCACCATGTCATGCCAATGTCTACTGCCTCACTGATACAGACCACCATCTGCTAAAAGTAGCAGATGAGAATCTGCAGGAAGATGCCCAAGGGCATGAGGTACGCTAAGGTACTCTGAGGCTCAGTCTTGTTACATTCCCACTAGATGTTTGAGGTTCGCTAAAAGTAGCAGATGAGAATCTGCAGGAAGATGCCCAAGGGCATGAGGTACTAAGGTACTCTGAGGCTCAGTCTTGTTACATTCCCACTAGAGGTTTGAGGTTCATAGATGGTGGTAAGAAAAGAACCAAAGCGATCGCAGCTTAGTCAACATGTGAGAATGCCTGGCATGAGAGGAGTTTTGCCACATTAGCATGGTTGCATTGACTTTGCAGTACAGTTTTAAATTTTTGAAAGAATAATGTTAGAAATGAATAGGAAAGAAAGATAACCCAAAATTCTTATAGAATAATTTTATAATATATGTATATTACGTATCTTTTTAGTGCCCTGAATTTTACTGCCTAGTCATAAAAAATTCCAAATCACTTTCTTTATTTTGAGATATTTAAATATTAATTTTACTTCATTCTTGATAATTTCATACGTGTGTATGAGACATGATCATATCCATCACCCTGTTTCCCCCTTCAACTCCACCCAGAACCACCCCAACATGGCCTGTCCCAATTTTTCTCTCTTCTTTCATTCTCTGATAACCCATTTAGTCCAATTACTGATACCGATATAAGTCTTAGTGTGGGGCCATCTACTAAATATGGGAAATATTCCAGTGAACACAATTTTTAAGAATGACTCTCTTTTTCCCAGCAGCTATTAACTGCCAATAGCCCCTCTGTATGGAACGACCCTGGAGAGTGCCTTCCCTATCTAGGTGGCAAGATTGAACTTGTATAGGACCTGTGCAGGTAAACAAAGCTTGTGTGATCTTACCAGTATGCTATCCATGACAGATCAAGAAACTTGCATTTCACAGTACTGCTCCCCATCATCAGACTCTTACATCCTTTCTGGACCTTCTCTAGGATG